TGTTGCACGATTAGCCTGATTTTCCTATGTAACATGGATAAAACTAGCCTCTTTTTGAATGGAACATCGCGAATTGATGAGAGTTACTCCTTGAAAACAACTTTTGCAACACTCTGAATGTCATATTTTTTAAGAATACCTAAATTCCGCAAATCTGTGTTGAAGCCAAAAATGGTAGGTCAAAGCAGGATTTCTTAGCCTTTTTCTTATCGATAAAAACGTTGAATTCTCCTCTATCATCGATAAAAGAATCAGTCAAATTGTTTAAAGCAGGGTAGATCGAGATATTTTCATTTTTTATCATAAAGATATTTATGACTCACCTGCATAATCACAAATCGACTGTTGCAATCGCCAGCGAAAAGCTGATTTTTGATGACGCTGTCAATGCAAAAATTTTACTTTTCGAAACATTCGAACAGCTGGAAAATCAATAAAAGTCTAAAAACAGATATTTCGGCCCCTTTTTTGTCTGCTAGAAAAATGTGTTCTTCAGGTTTTGTTCGTTCAAATACAAAAAGATCAAGCTGATGCTACATTCCGTCGCTAAGAATTTAGACTTGACCTTTTTTGATTCATATGTTAATTGTTGACAATGTCGGCTGTTTCGACTTATACCTCTCGTGTAAGTGACTGTCCAAAAAAGAAGTCGGATGTTGACAGTGTTTTCAGATCATCAACGTTTTCGAAAAATAGTTCACAGTGAAAACATTGGTGCAAACAGTAAAATTAACTTCGTAATGTGTCGGTACAAACTATGTAGCTCTCAAAATGACAGCATTGTTAGGGCTGCGGATAGAGAAACGAAGAGCGAAAAAAAAGAAAGATACAGTCTAGTTAGAACAGAAGGCACTGCTCGAACAATAATTTAAGCTTTTACAAGGCGTACTTTGAGAAAAGGCTCATGGCCAAAGGTAGATGCTTGTGAGTCATCTTTGTTAGGAACCATATTTGAATAAATTTCGATACACAATAACTTTTTAATGCCATATCTGATTGCAGGTACCCGAAGAGTACTTGGGCATCGTTCATCATCTTCAAACAACTGACATAAATATTCGTTCGGCCAGACAAATTCCACAATTTAAGCAAAATTCAACGGCTGCTAGTCAATTAGACGAATTGGTTAATTATTTCATCACGACTGCAGAAGATCTCATCATTTCGCCTAGTATCAAACTTCGTGTTCGCCATATGGCAGGATCGTCGTCGACTAACAATTCGAATTTGAACACATCGGTCGACAAATATCACTATGAGATCATGCTCTACTCGTACGAGTTGACCTTCAAACAGCTCAAGGCTACTGTGTCCGAGTGGATGATGGCCTATCGAAATCATATGAAGAAAAAGAATAAAGGTAAACTGACGCACTTCAGTAAATAGCTTCAGATGCAGATCTTGTTTTGTTAAAAATTGCAAAAAGTGAGGATCAACTGTAAACAAGCCAGTGAATGATGTCAAAGGCTCAATTCGCATTTATTTTTTATTTTTATTTGTTGGATAGCTTTCAACTAAAATGTTTTGACAGGTGCTTCCTACCACTTCACATTTTTGAGAACGATCGGTTCTTACTATGAGAAGTCACGACTGGAATTCGACAAATATCTCTTCGAGACATCAAAATCGTTCGACAATCTATTCTACGAAGGCAAACAGGATCTCCTCAACCGTCTGGATTTCTTTCTCCACAACCCACAGTACTACAAACAGCGTGGCATTACACATTCTCTCGGCCTCATGTTTTACGGGGCGCCGGGTAAGTCCATTGTTCTTACTCAACGATCACACTGCAACTCATATAATGAAACATTTTTCGCATTCAAAACAAAAATAGCCCGAAACATCTGCCAGGTCAAACTGAGTATTCTTACAAAATGATGTTTCTACAGTGCAGTTTCCATCCCGAATTAAGTGAATTGACTTATTCTATCAAAACAATTGTTACTTATCTTTTGAAAAAAAAAATTGGAAAATCAACTTTTATATTCGAAACAAAAATAAAGCTTTGAAAAAATGATCACAGTAGTATGTGGGCAACAATCTAAAAAATTTCAGATCATATGCAAATATGAAAAAAATCAGAGAAGGAAATACTTGATCTCGCCTACCAACGGCTACTAGATGAATGAGAATTGTGTCTCATATAGGCTGTGGAAAGACGTCAACGATCAAGGCGATGGCCGCCTACACTGGACGACATCTCGTCGAAATTCCACTTTCGCGCATTCGTACCTGTGATGAACTCAAGCGAGCCTTCTATCTTAGCTCATACGACACAATTGAGTTGGATTTTGCCAACAAGCTTATCGTCTTTGAAGACATCGACTGCAGTAAGCTGTTCGATCTATCGTTTTGTTCAGAACAACTGAAAGAACTATTTGCATTCTAGTGGCCAACGTCATCAAGAAACGATCAACGACATCGACAACCGATTCAGTGACGTCTGAAGACGACAAGCTCATCGTTCATCTCGAACAAAGTGATATTGATATGCGCAAGAAGACACTCTCAAAGCAACATGTGCGCAGTTTACTTGGTGAGTCAGAATATCAATTGATTGGGAAATAGCGTGTCAGGTTTCGATTCAAGACTTTTCCAAACAAAAAAGTGCATAGATAAACTCGATTTTCACATAATTCATTTCAGAACATGATTGAAAAACGGAATGAATTGTGACCGATGTGTAGATATAACGAATAATTAAAAATGGATTATAGTCTTAGTGTTTTCTCCTCCTCCTTATACTTGATTCAGCTCGATTATTAATAAAAAGATTCTTCGTTGAATTCTCTACAAAAATAATAAATGTATGTTTTGAAAGTGAGCTAAATTTTTTTGAATAATTTCACAAGCATTACAACACAGTGACAGCAGATTTTTATAGTTTCAAATATCCTCTTTCTTATTGTTTTCGAAAGTTGGCAAAAAAACAGAAATAATAAAATTCTTACGCTCTCAATTTTCGTTATAAATTTTTTAAATTATAGATGAAAAATAGAATTTTTAATGGTCCACACAATGACTGCTTCAACATTCCTTTCTCTCGCATACTTTTAGCAAATATTTTTTTTTTCAAAACTGTTTTCTAACTTACTTTTTCTTCATTTTGGTATTTTGCAGTAAAACAGTTAATCGATTCTTTTGTAGAGATTTCAACGGGAAGTTTTAATTAAAAAATTTGCTCAATCAAATATAAGAAAGAGGCGAAAATTTGAAAATATTGACATTATCATTCTTTTTTGTGCCCATCCGTGAGTCGTTTTATCGGAATATTAATGATCGCCACAAAAAAGTGAACGTTATAATAAAATCGAATTATTGAGTCGACCACTTGCACAAAGCATCACCAATCAACTTTTCGAACATAAGATTCAAATAGTCAAAAGTTTTTTCTTAAGCGAATAGATAATTTGACATGATTTTTGTAACAAAAGTAAAAGCTATCATAGGTTTCTTGGATGATATGTCCTCGGAAACCTCGTGTACGTGAGAAAAAATTGTTTCAAATCTTGGCAAAATAGATTTTTCCGAAAAAAACGAATGACGATAAGAAGAGCAGAGATCAATCGCAGTGAAAACTGTTTTGAAGATGTGGATATTCGGAATAATGAAAACTAGATTCGAAACTATAAAAACGAAGTTCAACGTTCAGGCGTCTGTTTTATTCTTTTTTTATTGAATCCAGGCAATGACAATCTCTTGGCTCCACAAGACCCACTCACATTGTCCTTCTTGCTCAATCTCATCGACGGAATTATAGAACAGCCTTCGCGTATACTCATCATGACCACCAATCACCCGGATCAAATCGACCCTGCTCTTATTCGGCCTGGTCGCATCGACATCAAACAAGAGTTCAAACGATGTTCGGTATCTATCATCAAAGATATGATCAAACATTTCTTCTCAGAGGAAAGCTACGTTGATGTAGCTCAACTTCATGACTACGTTCACTCGCCAGCTGACATCATTTCGGCCTGCATGGCGGCTACAGACGCTCAGGGTGCTGTAAAACTGCTCATAAAACAAGATTCGACCAATGTAAACATTAAGACTGAAGAGATGGCTGCCTCTTAATAACTATTAGCGGTAATAGACATTCATGTATGAATATAATAAACGTAAATCTAGCTACAGCTGATGTATAATTCAATTTTGGAAATAATCTTAAATAACCAAATAAAAATATCCATGGGATTAATATAAAAAATGTTGCAAATATATTATCATGTACTAATAAATATGCTATATATGACCACATTGCACCTATATAACACAAAAATATTTCCTTTTAATTATTGTTTAGATAAAAATACCTAAAAGAATTTCAATAAGTCTTATTTTCATCGTTATAAAAGCTCCTCCAACAGTATCAGTTTGTGTCATACAAAGAGCTATTAAAATTCATTGACCATTTTCAAAAAATTTTCGCTAAATATGGAACCATAACAAATATTGATCCAACTCCGATAATAGTCATACTTTTAAATGCTAATAAAAAATTTGACCATTGAAATATAAAACATTGATTAAAATAATTTAGTTTTTGTTTATTATTTGAAATATTTTTATTTTTTTGATCTGTTATTATTTGAGTTAATAATTTCACAGTATAAGATAATTGAAAAAGAAAAAAATCGATAAGAAAGATGATCTTCTGATTGAATTGATTTTTTTGATTGAAGAATTTTTTTTATATGATAAACGATAAGTTAAACTCATCTTTTGTTATTGATTTTGATGATGTAAAAGATGATACAAGACTTGATTGACATGAATTAGTATAATAAATACTTAATTCAAGTTCATCTCTTAAATCATTATGATATTCATTATACTGATATTGATTTACCATTAATTGAAGAGAACAAATATGAAACATTAATGAACTTAATAAATTAGCTTGTTCTTACAAAAACAAAAGAAACATAATAATAAAATAGTTTATTTTAAATATTTTAAAACAAACCTTGAATATTAAGATTAATGATATGTTTTCATTTTCGATAAAAAATTTTTTCTACTAATCTTGATGGTTCATATTGAGCTTCAGCAATCCTTAGTTGAATAATAATCATTGTTTGACGAAACACTTGTTCAATAATCGATGTATGTGAAAGTGATACTTTTGCATTCATTTGATCTTGAGATAAAAAAGCTTGAATTATAAAATAATACATTCGTTGAAGATTTTTTAAACAATATGAAAAGCGATTTTCAATATCAAATGTTGCAAATAATGGAAGTATTAATAAAGATATACATATTGATATTAACATACCAATTATAAATAATTCAAATAAAAGAAATACAAAGATTTTTGGTAGTCATTTTTTATTTACAATTGTAGAAAAAAATATTGCATTGTATAATAATGTTATTTTTCGAGTTTGAATCTACAATTATATTTATCAATATGTGTTAATGCATATTCATAAAATATGTTTCTTTCTCGCTCAAATTTTATGAAGTGTTTATGGTAGAGATAGAATTGATCTGGATTTTTGACGAGCAGTATCGGTACTGATTTGAAGGGGTCAGACCGGGAACCGTACAGGACAGGATCGACATCGCACCATAGATGATGATCAGTATTGGTTCTCTATTGGATACTGTTATTTCACGTAGTCAAGTTTCGATAGAATTTCATTACATCTCCTCTATAAATTACTACGAAGATTAATAGAAGTTTTGAACAAGTTTATATAATAAGAACAGAAAAGTAAATAAGGTAGATCGGTCTGAAATCTGTACCAGTATCGGTCTCATCTCTAGTTTACAGTTTGATGGAAATGCATTGATGCTTACTTGTGTACATTGATATGCAATAATTAATGATAAAATAAATAATAAAATTTCCGCTGCTAAATAATGTCCATATGAAAGGCCAATAATTGGAATAAAAAAAAAGTACAATTGAAAGTGGAACAATTGAAATAGTTGTTTGAATATTCGAATATAATGTTGAACCAACAGTTTCTTGCAATGATAAAACACTTATAACACATATTATATATTGTTGATCAAATTGATAATGTCATTAAATCAATCGAAAAACATACTGACCTATCTCTTGAAGAAAAGATAAATACAATCTGCTATTTCCAACTTTTGCTTTTCAAAATAATATCTAAATATTGTGCTTGTAAATAAAGAATAAATAAATGCAGAGTTCAATTTCGTCGACACGTTTCGTGTTGTTTTTTAATATATTGAAACATTCATCAGGGCTTTGCATTAAAAACGAAATAATTAGAAAAAAACAGAAAAATTAAAGGAAAAGAAAGTGAAAAATATAGAAATAGCAAACAAGCAATTTTACAGTTCAAGGTTTTGATAAGGTTTCATTTGTTTTAACCTTATCAAATAGAGAGATCACATCAAGTTCCCATTAAAATTAATGATACAGCAATGTACTTGAGACTAGTTTCCTGTCGAAATATTCTTAAACTGTGTTGATATATTTTATTCGTTCACAATATTTATAATCTCTCATATACATAAGACTGATTTTCCAAATAATTTTGAATTTCACTAAGATATTGAATTTTTAGTTGAAGTAGTATAGGTAAATACAGAATTTATTTGATATTTATAAGACTTCAATATTCTGATTAAATATCCAATCGTAATAATTTCACAGGTGATACGTTGGTTATTCGATCCCGTAACATGCTCCAACGTTTATCACGCAATGCATATGTTTAAATAATATTATAGTTGGCGATAAAAAGGTTTGATTTATGAATGATTGTAATAATATAAGTTGATTAATATATTTAGATATAGTATTAAAACTTTGAATAATAAGCAGTAATTCCATTTAAAGTGGAAGCAATAAAGATTTATTATTAAAGGCATTTGTATAATGTATTAGTTGAATGCCTTGTATGCACAATTTGCCTTTGTAGATTATTTACATTGCGTGTGCTTATTTGAAATCTGTTTCCAAAGATTTAGAACATTGTACTGAGTCAGAAGCGAAATTCAGAAATCATTTTTTTACCGAATTGGTTTAGAAAAAATGGACTACATATATTTCATTCAAAATCGCAGACAAAAAATTTTCCAAATGATCTATAAGAGAAATGGTATAAGATATCAAATTAAGGTTAAACTTTATTATTGATTAGAAGTGTATGAATAAATTTTACAGAATGAAAAGAGTCACTGCAAACATTCCATTGCTTTCGATCTTTTATTGAATTTAAAATTATGAAAATAGAAAAAACTGAATCATCATGTTAACCTTACTTTCAGAAATAAGCAAATCTGGAGACCCACATCTATTTGAATTTAAATTTTTAATATTCTGAAAAATTCATTAAAATCGATTGAAATTTAAATAGATTTTTTTTCTATTTTAAGGTCTCATTTATTGCTTTTTACAGCAAAGACTATTTTGAATCTGATCTTAAATTAAACGATTTATGAAAAATTTGGCAATGAGATGAAAAGGTATATATTTCTAAACAAAAAAAAATTGATTATTATTATTATATATTTTTGTTTTAGTGTATGATATTTAAAATACGTAAAGATAAATTAATGTCAATGTTTGAATGTATGGATAAATATCGAAATTATCAATATCAACATTTAGGTGATACACATGAAGAAGCATTAATAACAAAATTATTAACAGATTATAATATTGATAAAGAACATTTAAGACATGCTCAAACATTAGAAGAAATAGCTGATTTATGTGAAAAACTTTATATTTATTACATAGAAGATATTCTTGGTATACATTCACATGACAAATTATTAGACTATCGCGAAGAACGTGAAAAACGAAAAACATTAATTTCAACCATTGAACAAGGTGAAAAAAATGAACAACCCTTACCAACAATTGATGATGATGAACAAGATGAAGATACATTAATTGAACGATTTCATTCTCAATTAAATTAAAATCAAGTATTAAAACTAATTATTATAATGTATATAAACAAGCTTGACTTGAAGGATTATCTTAAAAATTTTGATATAAAACCAGATAAATTAGGTGAAAATCTTTATGAAAATTATCAAAATAATGAAAGTGATCAATATTCTATTGATCCATTAGCACCAGATGAAGAATTTGTTTGTAAAGCATTTCCTGATTCACAATCTGTATTACAAGTAAGATACTTCTTTTTTTTCAATGTATATTAATATCAAAAGAGTAAACGATTTTATTTTGAAAAAAGAAAGAAGAATGTTTTACAAAAAATTTAAGAAAAGAAAATGCATACTATGAATTAAAAAATAAAGCTGATTTTACAGCTTCTCTTCTATTAACAATAGTGAAAACTTTCTATTAAACTGAAACAAAATAATGGCAGAAGAAAGACTTGCCATTTCTTTTATTATCGAGAACCATGGTAGTAACTACCGCGATCTAATGTTTTCGAGATTGATTGGGATTTACTAGACATTCATAAATCTTTTGAAATAATGCCTCATATCTGAAATATTGACATAATTAATAAACTCTAATTAGATATGAGCGGACTCTTCTTTTTAGCCATGATCCCAAAAACAGGGTGTGGTTGTGGGTGTGAGTGGGGTGTGAAGCGTGGGTGTGGGGTGTGGGGTGGGTGTGGATGAGGGGTGGGTGTGGTGGGTGTGGGGTGTGGGCGAATTATTCATATGACACACCCAGCCATGCACATACCCACACCCACACCCACACCCCACACCCACACCCACACCCACACCCACACCCACACCCACCCTCACCCACATCCACACCCACCCACACCCTTTTATTATGCAGTAATGTTTCTTTGAATAATGTTTTGCCAGTTGAATAATAAAGAATATGAAAAAAAAATGCATTCAAATGTTTGCTTTGCTCCTCTTGAAAAGAAGACGGTGAATTTTTCTTTGCTGACACATGTGAGTTCTCTTACTCAATTGCAGTTGGCAACACGACGTTTTATAGGTGAGTAAAAGAAATCAACGGTGTTCGCAGTCAATAAGAGTAACACTGCAAACGAATTATTATCAGCCATTTAGTCCAAACTCGATTTCATACTACGATAACATCGATCTGCAGAACTTCGATTTCAGAACAATGGGACAGAAGGTAAGTATGTTTGTCTAAACGCAAGAAGAAATCTGAATTTTTGTGTCGCTGACTGAGATCTAATCATTGTTTTTCGAGGGAATCAATTTGAGAAAGACTTGTCTTGTTAGCAGCGTTCAAAACTTATCCTTTCTATGACTTTGTAAATCATTCAATTCGATTCTCCATTCATTTTTGAAATCATTTCGATGTTGCAGATAGCGATAAGTGGAAGAGAAGAAGCTGAGCAAAGTCTTGTGCACATCTCGGACATTGCTGAAGAACCGCACGAGATGTTAATGCCGATTAGTGGATATGATGAAATGCCGTTGGTATCACTTGACGAAGCCGTCAAACCACTAATTTCACTGTTACCACAGATTCGAGATTATGCTCACGCGGCCAAACAGAAATGTAAAAAACCTGCTGATAATCTAACACCAGACGAATCAGCTTCGATAATGCTCTATACGATGGAATGGGAACCACTCGATCAGTGTCTTTACGTGGTTTTGAATAGGACACTTCGATTCAAAGACAGACAACAATTGAAACCGTGGTTTCTCTATTTGAAACTGTTTCTCACTGCACTCTGGCGTCTTCCATCAACACAGAAGTTTATCTATCGAAGTGTGAGATTCGACTTAAGTAGACATTATCCGAAAGGCAAAACAGTGGTATGGTGGGGTTTTTCGTCTTGCGCCGTTTCCGTCGATGTTTTAAAATCTCAACGTTATCTAAAAACATCTGGTGCCAAAACAATATTTGTCATTGATTGTCATTCGAGCAAAGACATTAGCAAACATTCGTATTATCCGACCAAAGATCAAATTCTTCTTCTTTGTGCCACTCAATTTCGAGTTCTCGCCTCTGTCTATCAGGGTTATGGTCTACATACTGTTCAACTGCAAGAAATTCAACCGAAAACTCCTCTATTACAACCAGTGACAGCTGTCAAACGAATTCCTGGTAAGATTAAGAACACACTTTGATATTGGTCGTAGAAGCATAGCTGCTATAAGACTAAATCGTTGGTTAGAAAATGATCGAAAACATTTTTTTCGATTATTATTTTTATCATTACCGAAAAGAACAGTGAATTTTCTCAGTCTATTCTTTTAGTATTCGATAAACATCGAAGTAAACAATTGGAACAAACTATTGCACAATCTGGAGCAACTCGATCGATAGTAATGTTGAACTGCATGCAATTGTATGATCAAGATATCGACATTGTTGCCAAACAGACGTTACACAACACACAATGCATGTGGCTATCTTTACAATACAATGAAATCACATCAGTTGGTGCTGCGATCTTAGCTGAGGCATTGAACAACAACCGGACTTTATATACTCTATCGCTTCTAGCTAATCACGTGTCCGACATGGGTGTGAAAGCTTTGGCCGAGACACTCACACACAGTAATTGTACTCTCACGATACTTGACCTTTCGGAGAATGGAATCACCGATGCAGGTTGCGAATATCTTTCTCAAATGCTCAAGACGAATCAAACAATGACTCTATTGTATCTATCCAAGAATGAAATAACCGATCGAGGAGTTCGATTGTTGTGTGAAACGATCAAAAATCACAATCAAAGTCTTCAAGGACTGTGTCTCTCCTGGAACAAGCTAGTGACTGACGAAAGTGTCGATTCTCTTTGTGACATGATCAAATATCATCAATCGTCAAAGATACTGGAAGTGAAAGACTGCGATCTGTCTCCAATGAGTGAAGAGAAACTTCAAATAGCGGCTGATTCAAAGAAAAACTTTGAACTATTTCTGTGACTTATCGCTTCGATTAATAAAACAGAATAACTGAACTTTAAATAAGCATTTGAGAACGATCGCTGATACACGTCATCTTTTCCTACTAGGTGAATAATGGATAGTTAGGCATTACAATCAAGAGGGACACGGCAGCTTATGAGTTTCATGAGTTTGGTGAATTTCCAAAGGGGAAACCGTTAATTTACATCAGCCCAAACGCACTCGAACTTACGAAAAATCATTCATAAATAGCCCAAAATCATAGATTCTTAGTTGCAAATAAAGTAAAAAACAAAACTTTAAGGCACTTCTTTGTTTACAAATTTCTTCGTCCACGATAAGCTATGGACACTATTCAAAGGTTGATTTCGATACATTTTCAAATAAACTACAAAGCTTATATACAAACGATTTTTTCATGGTCGATTTATTTAGAATTCAGACGTTTCTTGACATGCTGTTTCATTTGCAATAATAAAAAAAGATAGGTCAAAATTTTTCATATGAAACAATTTCTCGATTGGACCATGCACCGTCTCTTAATATATGTAGCTTTACGTCATTTGATAATAACAAATGTTGGCATCAACGACGACCTCGATTTAAAGTTCAAGATGTAAGTGTGGCTAAGGTGGTGTCAGTATGGGTGTGAGTGTGACATGAAGATAATAACAACACTCACGCCCACACCGGCACCTACGCTATGTATAACGAAAAATTTTAGTGACGAGCAGCAGTGGCTTAGTCTCATTTCAGACACTTTTTCGTTTTAGTTATATAAACGAATAAGTATTTGTAAATATATTTTTTATTTAAATATTCATTTATTTTTTTTACGTAAGTTATTTACAAATAAATATACTATGATTATTTTCCTAATAGATTCATGATCACTCAACAAAATTAAAAAAAAAATATGAGTGAAACTTGATATATGTTTGTTTTCATGTCTACAGTTTGGTTTTCTTCTTTAAAGTTATGACATGCAAGCAAAAAATTGTTCTGACATTAGTAAAGATTTCTTTTCTAAAATGAACATCATAGCTTCATAGTTTATTCTTCATCTCCAAAGTTAAGATATTTAAGTAAAAAATTCTACTAAAGTTGGTAAGCATGTAACTATGAAGTTTTAATTTTAAGTCACAGCTCCATAGTATATTTTTCATATCTAACGTTAGGATTTTTAATCAGAATTTATTCGATAGTTAGTAATGATGTTTTTCATACTACATTTAAATAATGATTGTATAGTTTATGTGTCATCTTTTAAGATGTAACTTTTCAAGTGAAAAGCTGTTCTTAGATGGGTAATATTAGAGCTTGGATATTTGTTATTTTTTTTTTCTTAACAAGACGAAGGATATATTTTTGCTGAGGATGTGATCACGAATCCAAGAAAAATAAATAACCATATAACTTACATAAATCGAATATCAGATAAAACAAATCGTTTTAATAAGAATTCAACAATTTCAGATAAAAAAAAACATTTTTTGGCATAAAACATTCAACCATAAAATCACGGTCACTGCTTTGTAAGATTCCTAAGTGAGATTTTTATTCCGCCATTTCTTAGCTTTTGTTGATATTTTTTGGTTTGATTTTGTTCTATAAACAGATGATGAAAACGACGCGCAATAAGTTTTGTGACCTTTGCTTCTTCCTTCTTATCCATCAACTTCCAAGGTTATTACATCATTACTTCGCATAGACACATATGCGTCAAATTATTTTTTTTCAGGATATGCAAGTACTCGTGCAATGTAATATAATACGGCTTACAGTTTTTGTCGTTTAGCTTTATCTTCTAATTCGAAAAGAAAAAAAAAACATGTTGCATACGTCTCAGTCAGACTATTGTAAAACTCGAAGATCATATGTTATTCAACGTCAAGTAAGAGATCAGTGAATCATACCAAATTCAGATGTTGGACTATGTTGAAAATGCCATATAAATCTCTCCATTGATCTCATAGTCGTGTTCCATATACAAAAATTTATCATGGTATCTAAAAGTGCATTTCTCAATGTGTCCTTTTTTATTTTGTTAAGTATGCGATTCCATTACAGTTTTTAAACATCAACTAAAGAAAAGTATTCGTATTGATTGTTCATGAAAGTTAATAATACATTATTTTCTACGTTTTCATTGATCTAACACAGTAATAAGAATAAATTTGAATTATTTCATTGTATTCTCATTAGTATTAGTACACAATTCACTGATGTTGGTGTATTAATGAATATAAACACTCATACTCCGCTCAGAGTCAAAATCGGTCCTGGTTGCTACTAGAAAAATAATATGAAGAAGTAATGACTATGTGTATTCATGCTAGTTGTATAGAAAACTTGTTGTTCAACTAGATTTGATTTTTATTAAAATATAAAGGCACTTGTGTTCTATACAAGTCTGAATATCACAGACATCTGATGAGACCTTTTAGCAAGGTGGAAAACTGGTCGTAGTTCATAATAGAAATAATGTAAAAAAGTTTTTACATTGAAAGTGTCTTGTTTGATCGAAATGATAACAAAAGTAAGATTTTTAATGTATATTTTCGTGTGATGCAATAGAAAGGGGATATTGTCAAACGGCAACGTCAAACCATTCGGTACCGAAGAATTTTTTTTTGTTCCGACGGCCACACTTTTCGTATCTCCATGTTTAGGAAACTACAAATTTGCTGGAAAAGATTTTTTTGCTGCCGATCTTGTCGTAGCGGTCGGAAAGGATTAATCGAGATGCATCTTAATTTTATTGACTATTATAAAACTGAATCTTTAATATATTTTAACGGATTAATTCAAGTCATTTCATCATTTTCGTTTGCATAGATACAGGTATTTAAAGGCAAAACTGATCTTAAAAACATTATATATTCAATTGGATCTTACAGATGCACTAACAATGATCAAGTTCTATTGAATAAATAACTTTCTTTTGTTCTTACTAAAAGATAATAATAACGAAATAATCAAATAATCATTTGACATTCGATAGTGAAGATATTCTTTATCAAGAAAAGGAAAAGAAAAAAAAAATGGTTATATTTAAATCATTCGAGTTCGTTAGAAAAGAATAATCAAAACATATAAACATCCATGTGTGTTTTATCCAACATTCCTTCTAAATCATTCTAAGCATAAATTAAATCGTTTTCAACAAGATAACAGAAACACAACGTAATTATTGTTTACATTCAATCGACAAACTTAATTTATTTACAAACAAAAAAAAAACATCTTTATTGAACATTAAATTTTTATTCAAAATGTCGAAAACATCTATTGAAAGTTTATCAAATGAATTATTTAATGAAATATTCGATTATCTTGACGGTAGTGATATCTACCAAGCATTTTCAAATCTCAATCATCGTTTTCAACAATTTCTCAATTCTTCATCATTTCCATTGAAAATTACAGTTAATTCATCATCTTATAAATCATATACGAATACGCATCAACAACTTTTATTTAACACTAAGCATCGAGTCATTTCCTTACATTTAATATTACCATTACAAAACAATGAATTTTTCTTATCATATTCAATTGATTCATCATTTAATTGTCTTGAATCACTTGTACTTTTTAAAATTTCACCACCTATACTTTTATTACTTCTTACTAATTTAACTTGTCTACCACGACTTTTTTCATTAACTATCGATACACAATGGACGTTTGATGATTTAACAGAAGTTTATCGATTAATTTTTGTTTTACCAAAATTAAAATATATGAAATGTTCAGCAAGAGGAACTGTCTTATCTATGTCATTACCAATTGCTAAGAAAGAACGATTAACTAATATTGAATATCTTGTGATTAATCATTCTTGTACTTTTAATCAAGTTTCTACTATAATATCTTATACACCTGAACTTTATCATCTAAATTTAATGAAATCCTATGATAATTATTTTAATAATGAAATGATATTACCAATGAATTTATTCAGTTTAACATATTTGTCAATAAAAATATGTGATATAATGTTGGATGTAATTTGAAAGTTTTACGTGCTACTCGTTTGTACGAACGAGATTATCTTGATGCTGATCGATGGCAACAATTGATTGAAGATTATTTACCAGATTTAGAAGAATTTTATTTACAATATCATGAAAAAGTTGATCCTGAAGCTGCAATGTCTAATGCTTTACCTTCAGATAACTTTCGTTCATTATTTTGGATTGAACGACAATGGTTAATGGATGTTGAAATGAATTCTTTGAAAATTGTCTGTTCAATTCGACCATACAGGTATATTGAAACAAGTGTTTTCTCTTAAGTAAATTATTTTACGATCTAACATAATTGTTGAGTAGACACGTATGAGATCAAGACTCAAAAAACCAAACTCTATCCGGACTACGAGAAAGTTGTCTTTACTAGATATACGTGAGACCAAATTGTTTTTGGTCTCGATCTCGCACATATCTAGTGCTAAAGTATAAGGAAGGAAATTGTAACCATTCATCCTTTTTTTTCCACTCGCAAACCGTGACAGATACCATAATAACAGATTATTATAGACCATGACTAGAACCTATCAAGTAAAGAATCAATAGTTTAGCTAAGTATTGTTTATTCGCAGAAAAAAAATCAACAAGAACTGATTTTCGACTATTTCTCATCACAGCTGAATCAAAATTCGGTTTGAAGTTCAGTCTGAATAGGAACATGGACTCGAACTTGACAAAACAGAAAAGTTTGAACCCAAATCCGATCAAAAGAAAATTTTCCGATTCGAATCCGACGAGTTCCATTGTGACAGACATTTTTATCGCAAACCATGACGGACATCATATCTTTTAATGCCACAACAATTATGCTAATAACTTTTCTTTTTTAGAAAAAGATGGTACGATATAAATTCTTCCATTGAACTTTCAAAATCTACTCAACTTACTGTTTGGAGTGTTCCTGATGATTATTATTATAGTGGATTATTAAAGTTAACTATTGGTGAAATTTTAACAATAACACAAATTTATCATTTGGAAATTTCTGAACCAAATATTTGTTCTACTGAATTAATCGAATTAATTGATAAATTACCTGGACTTGATTCATTAAAAATCTTTTCTTTGAAATTATTAAAATCAATATTTGTCGCTTTCTACGAACATAAACTTTATTTGGCAGCAAATAAAAATAATATCACCAAAGTTTATCTTTTCAAAATGAATTCTATAGAAGAAGTTTATTTTCTTATAAGATTTTGCCCTCGTATAACATATCTCAAAGTTAATTTGAACAATAATGTTGATTATGAAGTGTTTCTAAAAGATCTTTTAATGAAAATTAATAATGATGGCAATCAATATCTTCGTTTATTATGTCTTTATATTCCAACAGCAAACAATGAAATGATTAGCAAATTCAAAGATATGATCAATCGTGAGAAACTTCTTCATTGTTTTACTATTAAACTTGAATATGATAATATATATCTTCAATGGAAATGATTGGATTTAGGAGTGTTGTTTTTATCTATCTATTGAATTTCGAAATAAAAGAAAAATAAATTAAAATTCATTTATTCTTTTGTGTATGAATTGAAAACAAGATCGATTGATATGTTTTCAATAACTAAAGGATGCTTCATAAATTCTGAGCCTCAACAAAATTTAGTTTATATTATCAGTAATGAATGATATTGGTTCAGTCAGGAGTAGCTTATTTTGAGAAAATAACGGTTTTTTAATAAAACTTGTCTAAAAGGTTTCAGAGTCTATAAATCCATGTGAGCTTCATCAGATTTCGAAAATTATGCAGTCTGATGATTTTCATCAAACTCTCTAGCTCGAAAAAATCCTTTTTTTTTCTTAAAATAAACGACTGGTGAATGAATTGATACCATTCAAAACCATGATCGTTCAATACTAATATCATCAATACTAAATGGTATTCGTTTTGATTATATTAGTATTGAAATATGTGTGCCTTCAACTGATGAATGTTTTCAAGAATAGAGACCGCCTATCAGTCGAAAGTGTGTGTGACAAGAAAATTTTTACTGACTCTCTTTCAATTTGTTTCTTTTTTAAACAGACCTGCAATTTCCATATTGACGCTACTGTAGCTTTTAACAGTTAATTCATCAGTCTAAAGCATGCGTATAACCTTAAAAAGCATAGTTAAAATTGGTTATGTGGTTAAATGAGTGATGAGGTTTAAACTGATAAATGGTTTTTTTTACATGATGTCGATATCCTATGAAAATGCTAAGTAGTGATATGAGAAAACAATTTATTCTCGTATATTTATAACTTTTTCCCTACCTCATGCTTAGGCTGAGTAATAGAGTCATCTGCTAACGGCAATAGCTAGCGAGCTGCGGCTTTCACTAATTGAAGGAGGAGAAGTTGGGACGTCTTTTTCTCCGATTATGTATAAAACGAAACCCTGTTAAAACTAATCATCATCGAGAAGCATGCAAAAGAATACATGAAAATGGTCTGCCATTTAGATGAAATCTTGATTTTGACATTCGATTTAGATAGACGCATTTGAGATCTGTAGTTTAAGATACAATGTAAATGGCTTTCTTATTGCATTCTAACGTTGAGCAAATGGAATCATGCATTTAATTGCGCAAATAATAGGGAATTTTGCTGATTTTTTTAAGAAGTTTTCTGACTTTTTATCATAATAGGTTGACATTTCGATGAAAATGTAATGAAAAGTAAGAAAACGCATTGCATCTTGAACTATAGACCTAAAGTCCCTCTATCTAAATCAAAGGTCAAAATCAAAATTTCATCTAAATGGTAGGTCATTCTCATGTATCCTTTTGTATGTTTTCCGAAGATGATTAGTTTTAAAAGGATTTTGTCTTATACATTATTGGAGAAAAAGACTTTCCAACTTCTCCTCTTTCAATTGATGGAAATCGCAGATTGCTAGCTGTTGCAGTTATCGAGTTATCGCGCTTACACCCACCTCTCTTTCATTCTAGTGCGAACAATACATGTTGCCATGAAGTACATATAACCTCAACATTTTAAAATTTTCTTTCAAATAATAATTTTTTTAAAATTGTTCTTATAATATTCTTTTTTTTTTAATTTCTTTTTATAAAATTTATTTATTTATGTTTTATTTATTTTCATAATATGCATTGTTTTCTTTTTTTAATTAAATATTAATATTTTTTCAAAAAAAAATTTTCTATAAGGGTGTGGGTGTAGATGAAGCGAACACTCAGGCCCACAGTCACAGCAACGTCTACACCCAGATATTCTGAAAATAATGCACTAAAGAGGTCCGTCCGTCTCTATTAGATTGATTGTTTGCTTCATAGTCATTTCACCGTCTTCGTTCTGTTTCAACACAATCAACACCGATGTATTTCTTCGCCATCGTTGTCAAGTTACTTTATTCTACTAACCATAAAATATGGTCGCCATCATTCTCGCTTCAGTTACAAGCGAGAAGAACTACAAAAATCATACATATTTCTTTTTATTTTCTTAAACAGCCTGTGTAAAGAATAAGAAAGAAAACAAATGTCTTTCTGCCGCACACAAAACTAAAAAGAGAACGAGAATACTAATAAAAGAGAAGAATGAATATTTCTACTGTTGATCATCCAGTAAATTCGATTTCATATCCTCGAGCTAATATACTTACAAAAACTGATCTATTTGATTCATCATCGGGTCTACCATCCATTAATCGTCTTGTTCAACATTTACAAGCTAAAGATCGTCTTGATGAACAATGTGCTTTACATCTCGTTAATCTTGCTCAACAAACACTCGAACGTGAACCGAATATTTTAGTTATTCAGTGACCTGTTACTATTGTTGCCGATATTCATGAACAATTCTATGATCTTCTCACAATATTATCGGCTGATGGAGAACCAGCTAAAATACGTTATCTATTCTTGGGTGATTATGTTGATCTAGGTCAATTCGAATGTGAATGTATATTTTTATTATTTGCATTCAAACTTAATTATCCACAAAATATCAACTTACTTCGAGGGTGAATTCAGTTATATTTTAATCGAAAGCATTTTGGGAAACTCTGTTTGATCTATATTTGTAAATCGAAAAAGGATTTTATCAGCGTAACAATTGTATCGGTAGAAAAAAAAACGTCCAAACAACCTATCTGGATCACACTAGTAGCTAAGATTTTCTTAATGGATAGACCCTCCAAGTGAAAAATATAATAGTTGGCACAAGATTTATTTTCCTGCACGCTGATACAGAAAACTTTGTGCCCAAGGGAAAGCCTACTCATGGTTACTGTCCTGTTCTAGATTTTGGTTTATCTTTTTCGATAATTTGTTTTCTTATTCATTCTTTTGCCAGAAATCATGAAACTCGTCAAATGGCTGAAGCATTTCAATTTAAATTGGAATGTCAAAAGAAATATGGTTCAATGTCACTCTACGATGCTTGTATGATCGCTTTCGATACATTGCCCATTTGTGCTGTCATTGATTCACGTTTTCTATGCATGCATGGTGGTATCCCACCCGATATTCAGACTCTATCCGATATTGAAAAATTGAATCGTTTCATGGAAATACCTTATTCAGGTCCTCTTTGTGATTTCCTTTGGTCTGATCTAAGTGAAGATTTTGATCAAGTCGACGAGAAACAACCGGATTTTAAACCAAATAATGTCCGTGGATGTTCTCATTTCTTTTCGTATAATGCTTGTCGAAATTTCTTATTTCGAAATAATCTTTTATTAATTATTCGCGAACATGAAGTACAAAAAGATGATGTAAAATTCTTTCGAAAATCCTCTCAAACCAAATTTCCTGTCTTAATTTCCCTGTTTTCAGCACCTAACGAATGTGATGTATATAATAATGTTGCTGCTATACTTAAATTGGATGCAAATCAACAAATATCTGTTGTACGTATTGAAGCATATGAGCATCCATTTGTTAAACCTAACTATGGAAATGGTAAAAGAAAGCTTTTTTTCCAATGGAAATATTAAATCTAAAGGATTTTTTTAAAAATTGAATCATAGCATTTCAATTTGGCGAACGATTCATTACTTATTATACTACTCATATACTTCTTTCACTTTTCAATATGTATTCACCAGAAGAATTAGCTGCTGAAGATGGACGTCAAGATAAAACTGCTGTTGAATTATTGAATAAAACACGATTGATTGAAACAATGGATCAAGCGTATAGTGAATTGAAAGAGACAAATAATATTGTACTGAATCTAGCTGGACTAACACCTTCTTATCATGCTTATAAAAATTTATTGGCTCAACCCAAGGGGGAAACAGCTGAAATCAGATTTTTTTGCTTTTTTTAATTTTTTTGATTTTTCTCTTGATTTTTCTAATTTAAAACCAACTGATTTTAAATAAAGAAAATCAGAAAAATCAAAAAAATCAAGAAAATCTGATTTTAGCTTTTCCACTGTAAATTGATGCTTTAAACAATAGAGATTAAAAATTTATTAGTTACATTTGATTTTTCTGATTTTTTTTTGATTTTTTTTCTGATTTAAATCAAAAAAATCAGCTGTTTCCCCTTGATTCTCCCTCATGTGAAAACAAGCCACTGACAGAATTGTTGATGTCACGGCTTACGACTGTCCATGTTCGTCTAAAGAAGATCGAATACGGCCTGATTCAAATGAATTTCCTCAGGACGTTTCGATTGCCAAATAATTTATTTGACAAACTAAACTCTTCTCTGGAGCTTCATTTGAATCAGTTCGAATTCGCTCTTTTGTAGACGAACATTGAAAATTGTAGGCCATGACACCAATAGTTCGTCGTTGTCATATGAAATTGATATCTCGAAACGCTCTTCAATGCAGCTTCTCATATATAGTTGTGATGAATCTAAATAGAGAAAAAAAAAGAAATAATTACTTGTAAAATCTTCATACTTACATCATTTCTTGTTTCATATTGAACTAAATAAAGAAAAAAAAATGTATCTTTATATAAATAAGGAATACTTATTTTCGAGATGTTGTTGTGTTGAATCTAAAATGAAAACAAAAAAAAACAATCAAATATAAAAATTTCATGCTTACCATCGTTTTATTTTGATATTATACTAAATAAAGAAAATAAATATACACGTATAACAATGTGAGATGCTTACTTACTTAAGACCTGTTATTCAGATGAATCTAAATAAAAAAATATATATATATTTATTTATATAAATATAGTACACTTAATTTTAACATGTTATTCGGATGAAACTGAAAGAAAAAAAAGAAATAATTCTTTAGAAAACTTGAATGCTTTAATTATTTTGAGTTTAAGAATGAACCAGATAAATGAAATAAATTTACACATATCAGTAAATAAGGGATACTTATTTTTAACAGACTATTTTGATGAGCCGAAATGTAAAAAATACATAGAACAGATCCAGGTCACATTCATACGCACTCCTCATATTCACACGCGCTGACACTCATTCAAACACCAACAACAACACACTCACACCCTTTTAGAATATTTACCTGGTACAATATTAACTAAACTCGCAAAATTTCGTTTGAACTAAAATTACGGCATGCATCATTGGTAACATATTAGAATAAAATCTTCAGATCGGTTTTATTGATGATAAAAAAAATTTTATTCTAGGGTACTCGATAGGAAACACATATGAGACGACATTCACAACGCGAAGTGATTTTAAAAACTAGTTTTAATTTAAAAAAAAATGAATATTCAATAATCAATAGCGAGATAGTTCTTTTTGAGCTTCACTTGCAAATATATACTGCAATCCTCGTTGTACTCGACATTTGTCACTTTTCCAATAGTCGTTGTTGAAGTGCCAGCCTACTGAAGGTGTTCGTACAACAGATATAACACCAACAAGAACTTCCAACTGATTTGATTGATTTTTTTGAGCAACTATTTGAAGTAATGATGCCGACATTTTACCATCTTTTGCGCCATAGTCAAAAACAATATCTTCCTGTTGAAAAGAATGACTATTTGTTAGATATAAGCCTTTCATTCTTTTTCTCATGTCTTCTGGTAAATCACAAAATGTCATATCAATATAATATGCGAAATCATCTCGATTTAAATTTGAAGAAAATATTGTATAGACAACAATATTCTTGAATTGATCTTTGCCGCCTTTATCAATGAGCGGTATCATTAGCCAATCATGGTCAGGCTTTTGTTGTAAGAAAGTACTAACACGCTTTGATAGAATGCTTGTTTGAGCCGAAGTCATCTATAATATTCAAAAAGAATCTTGAATAGTAATTATTTCAAACATAAGATTTTCTCTATATCAAGAAACCTAGGTAGAGATCTATGAACAACTCGAGCACGTATTTACGGATTTGTGCAGATATATAACAGGAGCAAAACAAGGCATTTTCAGGGCACATTTTACATGACTCAATTACAAAAGACAAGTCATTATAGAAATAAATCAGTCTTCGAATCATACGGACCATATCCATTATAAACTAGAAAGCAAAAAATACAAAAACATCTATCACTGTAAGTGACGTTTCTGAGATTCTTTTTCGAACTCTCTTTAATTCATGCGGTAAGAAATAGATATATTAGTTCTTCACCGTACTCCTGAAAGATGGTTAATAAGTCGTGTTCCGTACAATATCTTTAGGTTTAGATAAGAGAATATTCACAGTTTCTTATGATCCTTCTAGAGATATATCAAAATTTGCTCAACGTAAGTTGGAAAACAATTATATATGAAATTTCAGTTTTCAATAGAAAGCAAAACAATATCATATCACCATGTTGTAATTTTCTCGCCAATTTAACAGACACCTTCTGCTTAAAACAAAAACTAACTGAGAGTGACCTATTCAATATAACCCCTTTTCTCTATCTGATTTTCATAATAATATAGATTGCTTACCTTTCGAATCAATATCACTATCTTACTGGGTGTAAAGTCGATTAGAGCTTTTATTACTCGTTTTATATTAGAAGAAAGAAAGAATTTTCCCAGGCAAACACAAGAAAATATTTAGCTATATTCCAACTACAAGCATACATATTGCTTCTCAATTAGTTCCTCTCAAAGATGAATCATATCAAAAGCATACACTGATAACAAGGATTACTACACATAACAGAATATTGACAAATAACAAGTTTTTTTTTCCTACATATTAATAAGTCATAAATAGATCATTGGTAAAAGGAAAACAACTTATTTTCGGATAATTTTCTTTTATCCATGATCTATTTATAACTTATTGATATGTAAGAAAAAAGAAACTCTTTATTTGTCAATATTCTGTTATATGTAGCAATCCTTGTCATTAGTATATATACGTTAGATATGATTCATCTTTGAAAGAAACTAATTGAGAAGCAATATGGATGCTTGTAGTTGGAATATAACCAAATATTTTCTTGCGTTTGCCTTGGAAAATTCTTCTTTTCTTCTTATATAGAACGAGTAATCAAAACTCAATCGATTTCACACCGAGTAAGACAGTGATATTGATTCGAAAGGTAAGCAATCTATATTATTATGAGAATCAGATAGAGAAAAAGAATTATGTTGAATCGTGTCAGTTATAAACAATCATATAGAACGATATTCTGAACAATATACTAAAGACTACGTTACAATGGTAAACGACGATAAAATCTCCTTTTGTTATATTTTTCGGTTACTTCATAACTATTCTTCTAAATTTAAGTTTTCTCAGAGTTCATGTAGGCAAGAAACACAGAAATCCAGCTTGTCAACGCGTTTGGATGCAATAGAAAAAAAAATAGTAAAATCACGCACGAACGCAATTCTATCTAAATCGCACTTGGACACGGCTGGCATTAGACTTGTAACGTGTCTAAATGCGTCTCCAGTGAAAAATTTGTTGCGTCTAGACACAGTTTTAGTTTTAAGTGCGTCTATATACAAAAAAATGTTACATAAGATTCGCGCCTAGACTCACTTAATGTCCTCGATTTATAAAAGATCAAACATTAATTCAGGAGTACGATAATAGAAAAAATATTGTCAACCATTGCTTTTTATCTGATAAAGATTATATGTAAGAGTTTTCTATAAATGAATTTATTCTGATGAAAGATACAAAAAACAACTCTTAGTAAAATATAATATGGAAAAGATTTCTAAATAATTGAGAATTTGAATATTTTAGCTAATGAAATTTTAAAAATGGATGTGGGTACGAGCCAACTAACTACTTTTACTCCCACAAGCACACCTAAGCTAGTCAGATCAAACCTGAGACGTATTGTAATAAATTTTTGAAAATCTCAAATTGGTTGCGTCTAGATGTGACTTCAGTCTGAATTGCGTCTCGACGCGGTTACCTCAGGGATCGCGTCGGAACATCATAAATGTTTCATCTGAGTTGCATCTTCAAGCGTTCGACTGCTGCGATTGAGACGCAGTTGCATTCCCAAAAATATTTACATGGGAATGACTGAAAAATAACGTTTTCTGACTGAAGACAATAGATATAATTGATTTCCTAGTTTTACGTTTTATGGCGAATCTTTAAGTATTTAAAAAACAGACTGAGCATCTTTTTAATCAGAGAGATTACAAATTAGAGACATTTCATACGAATACATCATAAAGAGGTATTTTGAAACTGTTTGAATATAGTTGAGTTAACAAGAAATGTATAAAGGAGAAAATATGTTTCTTTTTAGTATCTTCTTCTCTTTATTCATTATATATCTGATATTGGAAATCTATAATCGAGATATATTGTTCGAGGTGAGAATCGATTAAGAGTATCAAGAATTTTTGTTTTGTTTTTGTATTTCGAATAGAACAAAATGAGAAGATTAAACGGAGAAAGCGTTTAATTTTAGGTTTTTTTTCCATTGAATGATAATTTCAATCGATTTTTCTAGAAAAGTATTTATTTTCACTTTTCTATTTTCATAGTTATGATATCATTTATAATTACCACTTGTTTAATTAAATTTACGCATAAAATTCTAACGGAGAACATTCATTTAGATTGTTGCTTTTCTTAGAGTTTCATGTTAAATATACATGTTGATTTTTGTACAAATTGTCCTTATAAAAGGAACAAACTTTCAAATTTTCCGGTTATTCAAAATTAACATTGAGTTAAACATAAAATTTTCGTTTTAGATGCATTAATGCAGCTACTTTTCAAACTTTTAAAGCGAGTTCTGTCACTCTTTTTAGTATATGTAAATTATTTGAAGGAAATTTTACTCAGAAACTTGAAATTTTGCTGAACAAAAATATCAAAAACTGAAATTTTATGCGAATATCAGTCTTAAATTTAGATAGTCAAAAAATTTAAAGCTTCTTCCTTTCATAATGAAAATTTGCACGAAACTGACATGTCTGTCTGTCTAGATTCCATACTCAACTTTTCTTGCGAAAATACACGGAAAGAAAATCTTGATTGGAATTAAATCGACGCAAAAAAGTTGATCTTTCGATGAACATCAAAGAGATTTGCACATTACGTGGTGTTTTCACATGTGTAACAAGAAAGGGATTTCTGAAAAAGTTGATAGATAATTCAGAAGTATTTCTCTGAAATGTTTTTAAAAAATCAATAATAGTAAGAACGATTTAATCTGAATATCGGTATTTATTCTACTGATTTTTGTTACAGATATTCAGAGTTGAAATGCAAAGTGATAAATATTTGTTTTGCAACGGCTCAAAAACTGAAAAAAACAAGAAGCACAATAGACGATCTTATGTTCATCGATCGAAGTCAAATCCACAAAGCAGCAGATCGAAAGATGTTAGTTATGATAGCAAAACCATGCGCACATCCTATACTAACGAATATTATCACCAAAGAAATATCAATCATCATGATCAAGACAAGCACGTCAATAAATTACAAGTGGAAACAAATCAACGAGAACTTTCAAATTACGGCAACCGTACAAACAACAGTATATCACGCCAAGAAGAAGTTTATTCTCAGAAAGATGTCGGCGTAAAAGTGAAAAAGAATTTGACCTCATATGTGCAAGATTTTCTTCAACAACGTTCAGATTTTTCTTGGTTAACAGAACAGTTTGATCCCTCAACTGGTTCCGATCATTTTAAAAATCTGATTGTTCACTCAACTTTTCCAGTTAGTTTAAATCAAACTGATTTCGAATACTATATTGATATGACATTCAACGATTTCCCACAAGAACTTACAACAAGAATGAAATGTTTATTTCAACGAAATAATGAAAATCCTATATCAGAAGATATTTTAATTGATGATCATTCAGATGGTGCACTATCAACAACACTAATTCAAATACTATCTCACAAGAATGATCATAATGAATTGGAAATGCTTGTTGGCTATGTTACTACTACTCGACGTCTATCTAGAGGTTATACTTTTACTCAAACTTATTGGGAACAACATAGAAAACAAATCAAGAGAGCTTTACAATATATGTATGGGAAAGAGGCTCTTAAAGAATTATCCTGAGAATAACAAGTAAAACTATTTAGCTATTTCAAAGACACATCATCGTACTCGAGATTTTGCTTTTCAGCATGATATATTTTATCTGAATAAAAACTCTACTCACTGTTTAGAGTTTATTTTAACTGAAGACAGTAAAAAAAAAACGTCATTGATTCTGTTTTTTTTGGAACATTTGTACTAACGAGAATGGATGTGGATGTGTGTAGGGTGTATGAAGTATGAATGTGGATGTGGCTGCATATCATGACGAGACTTAGACTAGGGTGTGGATGTAGGTATGGATGTGGGTGTGGGTGTGTGGAACCCACAGCTACACCCACACTCACATCCATACCCACACCTACACCCACGCCTCACACTCCCGCCTACACTCCACACCCCCACCCTCAAGATTTCGACGTTTTTGCAGAAACGTTTTTGGACAACTTGTTAATTTAATCTAAGTTAAGATGAAGCGTCATCCCCAGTTAAATATATCGGTCACAATTATATCATATCAAATTAGTTTACTGACATTGTTAGTGATACAGTGTGGAGAAATGAATTTTGTTTGGAAAACTTGAGGTTGTTGAACACTCGTCGCTCTAGTCTTGCTATTATTCTTACATATTTTAATCCTTTTATGAAGTGTTCGAAAACTACTAGTGTTTAAGGTTCATAGACGAGATTCCTTGAACTACCATTGATTTGAGTTAGTGAGACACAGTATCAAAGTATTGATGGAACAATTGTTTTTGTATCTGTTATGTATTTTCCTATTACTATAGTTCCAATAATCTTCAGAAAACTACAATAACAGTCCGAGCTAAGCTTCATCTTATTTTTAAAAAATGATTTTTGTAATGATGTTTGTATTTGAAAAATGATTAATCGTCGAGTTTCGACAAAAAAGCATCTTCAAGTGCAGCACAGTGTTGGTCAGACATCTATTAATACTGTGTTACTAGCATTTGAAGTAAAGATATTAAGTAATCAAGTTAATTCAACTGTTACAGTAACAAGTTATTTGGAATAATAAAATGAATAGTTTGACATAAGATGATTGACAATGAGATTAGTAATGAAGATATAATAAACAAATTCAAATCCTATGTAGAAAACTAACTACGATCTTTTAAATGTAAGATATATTTCTTAGTCAATGATAACCTTTTCTGTTGTACATCGACCAAGGTTTTCGGGAGAATACATTTCTTCAGCTTTAGCTGGTGGAATGATAAATGTTCCAGCACATGTTGCACGCATTAGATAACTCCATTCATATACGCCAGGCCATAATAATGATCGAAATGCTTCAGCACGTTCATCTCTTAAGTTTTCATGTTCTGTCCAACCAATAGTTGAATATGGTCGACATCCACAATAATAATAATAATTTCTGTTTGATCTTGTTACTGATGAGTTTGTATCATCTGTCAATGTACCTTTTAATTGTGTATTTAATGGTTCACAACTAGCTGGTAAATAGGGTGTGGGTGAGTAGATGTCGGGGTGGGTGAGTAGGTGGGGGGGGGGGGGGGGGTGGGGGGGGAGTGGGTGTGTGAGTGTGGGGGCGGCCCTGCTTTTAATTCACGCCAACTCCGACTTCCACCTCCACACACCGACACCCCGCACCTACATTCCTACCCACACCCACACCACTCCACACACACCTACAGCCACACCATCCCACAGCCACACAGACACCCACACACACCTTTAAGATAGCCACCCACACACACTCTCAAGATAGCCACTCACACCCACCCACCCACACACACTCTCAAGATAGCAACTCAACCCACCCACCCACACCCTCAAGATGGTCACCCACACTCACACCCATTTACTAATTTCTTTGAAAACACATGAAAGCTCCACAGAATAATCTATTTTACTGATTCTAATTAATCTGTTAAATTTTCATTCGGAATCAAGTGTTAACATCCTGTCATAATTAACATATACATTGCAATTTCGTTATTATCTATGACAGGCTAGTGCATATTTCCAGATTGAATTTTGTCCGAACAATAATTCCATGATGTAATCATGTTTTAAATCATATTATGACAATCAGACAATTTTAGAGAAAGATATTTTTTTTATTGAATTATTAACTAGATTTCTGATTATTTCATGGCAATTCTTTTTGCTCATTACTTATTTCTTCCGTCGTTGTTCTCTTTACACGGTACAGACAACCGTGTAGGTACTAATAAAGATAATAAAAAAAAAAGAAAAGACCACGATACAAAACAACCTTTCATTCGCTTTTCTATGGTATGTATACTTGTCGAGATGGTGTTAGTAGTATTTTTTTCTTTTATTAGCTCAGATCCGATTGGTGCTATCATTTTACCTATTAGAAAATGAATAATTCATATACTTGTTATGGCTTATTTTGTTTCGTTCTTTCATTTCTTCTCGTTTAATCTATACTAAACTTTTGTCTGACACGCGCTTGATATGATGTGGGATCATTTTAGAAAGAAAGAAAAAAAACATCGACAAATGAAGTAGGATACGTCATAAAGATTTGTTTTTAGCATAAATATTCAACTATTTTCAACGTCAGCTAGTTTAATGAGAACTAAGATTTCTTTACGTGAAGAAATAAAAAAATCTCGTAAGGAAGATTTTTTTGAGTTCGTTATTTCGATTATCTCACCATGAGAACATTTATTGATATAAAATAATTTTTTTGTATGATAATACTGTTTGAATATTTTCGTTTAGAACTATCAGCCTAATAAAAAATGTCTGACGAAAATGCTTCTAGTCTTCAAGATGCTAATAAAAAAGTTCTTCAAGATATGATAAAATGTGCGGAACAAAAGAAACATAGTGATGCATCAGGTGAAGCTATGTCATGAATTATCGAAATTTTAAAAAATTCTAGTCCAACAAATAATTTTTATCAGCACGTTAACGGTCCCTCTAATCAAGTTGTCGAAGTTGAAAATATTTTCAAAGGACAAACCGGTGATGGAAAACCTTGGGAAATGCGATTTACGATCAATGCCGATTTGCCAAATAAAGCAAGAAAACATAAAGCACATTTTGGTTGTGATGTTTTTTGGAATAATGAAAGGGTTCTTGCTACACATAAATGGCTTCCAGATGGTATGTTGAAAGTCGGAAGACCAACTATCCAAGGTATTAAACTAGAAGAATTTCCGACTGGACATGATGAAAAAAAGTTTGATGATAAACGTTACGTAACTTGGGAGTCTATTTCAAAAAAATATGCGTATTAAATTTTGACATTTATTTTACACTGTTCTTCATAGAAAAAACCATCTTTAATAAACATTTTCTATACAGAGTATGTTTCACTTAGGGTTGACCAAACGTTCTAATTAAAGCAGTGAATATTTTATAAGATACTTAATATCGAAAGTTTTATTACATGAATACATAGTAAAATACCTCGTCTATTATAATGGGCATGAGAATTCTATCTTGGATTAATTCTAGCATTCTTTCAGATAAACTTTATCATATTCGATATCAAACAGAAAGCACGATTCAGAAAAGCTCGTTTATTTATACGAGAAAACTAACTGAACTGAATGAACTAACTCAACAAGGGTGGGGTGTGGGTGTGGGTGTGGTTGTAAGTGTAGAGAAGATTTATACACACACCCACACCCTGGGATCCAGTTGTGTGCATACTTCAAGAACTGAAAGAAGAATATCCAATGGTTGCAGATGATCAAGAATTCGATAGACTAGTTCGACAGGTAATGTCAGCAATGATGGTATAGTGATGTGAGTCATGATGTTTTGTGTTGAAATGGCTTCTGACTATACAATGTATGCCTTTTTGTATCTATGATAATGTGTGTAGATAGGTAAAGTAATGTTAGCTATCGTCAAGTTGGAAAGATGAATGGAAAGCACTAAAATCATTGTTATGTGCTTTATTGTGTTCTGTTTCTTTATAATTGATGTGAGTGGATGAGAATCAAATCGAAGAAAACGGCTTTTAAAAAATAGCGAAAAGATAAAAACGAGAGTGGAAGTGAGGGCAATTGTCTTTGTCTTCCTCACCTTCACACCCTTACATAGTAGAAAGATGGACAAATCGATTTCTTGACGATGAACGAAGATGATGAGTAGGTGTACTGTAAATTAATCCTAACGAGAACAGATGTGTCTCTGTTTGACACTGATCTTGTGTTCAAAGAGAAAAAACCTGACACCGTCGCTACTAATGTCCGCGCCAGAATCAAAGAGGGGTGGGTGTAAGTTCAATAACTCGATAACGGCAACAACTAGCGACCTGCAATTTTCACCGATCGAGAGAGGAGAGGGTGTGGGTGTGTCTGGGGGTGGGTGGGGGTGGGGGTGTGTCTGGGTGTGGGTGGGGGTGTGGGTGGGGTATGGGTGTGGGTGGGGTATGGGTGTGGGTGGGTGTGGGTGTGGGGTGTGGGGTGTGGAGTGTGGGTGGGTGTGGGTGTGGGGTGTGGGTGGGTGTGGGTGTCTTCGTGTGGCTGTGAAGTGGCTATGGATGTTATTCTTTTCGCCGACTCATACTCACACCGACATCCATACTCACACCCACACACCAACACCCACACCCACACCGCCACCCACACCCCACACCCATGCCCACACTCCACACCCACACCCACACCAACCCTATCCACACCCACACACACCCTCAAGAACAGAAGATGAAACACATTAGAAGACAAGCAAACAATCACTGAGCTAAACCAGCTAGAACGAAGACATTGCCTTATTAGAATAACCATTACTTTAACACGAATGAATAACCGTAAGGTGTGTCGTTAGTCGGCATGGACTCACGTGGCTAGATGTTTTCGCTACTTGAGCTACAATGAGATCCGCTATTAAAGTTCTACATAAGCTATCAGTATATGGAATGTGTTACAATAACAATAATGGATACAACAATGTTCATAATCCGTGTTGATTATTTTGCAGGTGTGGATGAGGGTGTGAGTGTGAGTGTGAATGACTAAAGGACTAATATCCACACCCACACCCTTGAGCACATCGCTCAGAAATTGAATCAAAACATTGATTTTTATTTAAATGATGAATTCGCTCTATTAAAAATTATAAAACTAAAAGTCAACAAGGAACCTATGTCCATCAATCGTAACGTTAATGAATTTCATAAATAGATCAGATATGAATCTTTTAGAGAGTTATTTCGAATATGAACGCTAATTAGTCGGTGTTAAATGAATTGGTCTCAAGTAAACTTTTCTAAAATTCTAGAGTAAACAGACGTGTGTTAATCACATTTTTTATTACAATGGAGGAAGGCAATAAGAGAGACTAAGAAAGCTTTGCTGAAGACTATTTCTTTGATTTTCCCGAAACTTCTTATTTGGGTGTGAGTGTGGGGTATTGGTTGGGTATGGATATGGATATTAGTGCTTTAGTTATTCACACCCACATCACCCACACCCATACCCACACACCCTACAGATTTGGATAACAATAACTTCCACATTTAAAAGTATCAGTACTAAAGGTTAAAAAAATTTTATAAACGTTTTGAATATTCTTGGGGTTTGGATGCGGTTGAAGATAAGACTCCAACTAATACCCAACACCAACATCCACATCTCTTACCTATTCGCCTACATCCATTTACGCGTACCGTCCCTCATATCCACACCCGCGCACGAGTAGAATAGGAGTGAAATTCGTTCTTGTTGGAATGGCCAGTTATTTTTTATTCATCGTCATTTATGTTATAAAAAGACAAAAGAAATACAATCATCGTTATAAGTTTATTCGATAGAAAAACGTTGCACTCGCTGATTGAAGCTATCGACAACATAGAGATGACCATGTCTATCGAAGAATAGACCCATTGGCTCTTTCAACTGATCTGCTCGTTCCCCTCTGCCGTTGCCGCCCACAATAACAGTGCCTTCTTTCGATCCTTCAGGCCAACGCATCACTCTGTGGTTTGAGGAATCTGCCACATATACCGTACCCAAAGTATCGACAAATAGCCCTTGAGGGCACGACAATTGTGTTAGAGCGTTTCCTTGGCCTTGACCCCCTGCGACAACAGTTCCTTCTGCTGCATCTTTATTCCATTTCATCACACGATGATTTTTCCAATCCGAGATATAGACAATTTGCTGTCGATCAACAAATATGTAGGTCGGCTGGTTGAGCTGATTAAGACTGGTACCTGCATCATGACCGCCAGCCACGACAATGCCATTCTTCGCACCCATCTGATATCGTCTAACTTCATGTTTGTTGATATCAGAGATATAGAGATATCTCTGATCATCTATAGCCAATCCTCGACAGAAGATGTTATCGAGAAGAATTTCTCCTTGAGTAGTACCATGACGACGAGAGCAGCGCAGAACTCGTCGATTGCCTCGATCACAGATAATGAAACTATCAGTCTCTTTGTCGATCAGCACATCAGTAGGCCGGTTTAATTGACTCAATCGATTCCCGCAACCATGACCACCAGCTACCACTTGTCCATTCGTCTCACCCCTCTTCCATTGGATGATACGATGATTATAGCAGTCAGCGATGACCATCGTTTGATCATCATCAACGAAAAAACTATAAGGCCAGTAGAGTTGATTGGTGGCATTGCCATGCTCATAACCTCCAGCGACAGTTACTCCATTCTGTGTCCATCGAGCATTGACTGGAATATTGGGAATTCCTATAAATAAAGTATATAAAAACGAATCATTACTCCTGTCAAAGAGTTTTCCTCTGCCGTCGAAAGAGCTACGAATAAGACCTCTTTTATTCGAGGGAGCCTGTTATAACCATCAAGAATGTCTCTGGATATATTCTGAGCGCCTTTTCCTGGTCCATAAAAAACTAAAAAAAGAGTTTCTTACGAATATTAAAAATGTTCTTTCTATGGATATCAATTTAGAAGTCTTTTTTGATTTCCTATAAAAAATAGATCTCATACCAATTTATATATCTGCGCTAACTAATCCTAGCCTCAGTCTTGTTCAATTTATGAGAAAAATTGGGAAAGTGGTTAGAACTTTGCCTTGAGTTGTACTAAATCTTGTTGACAAGGCTGTCCATAGTTAAACAGAATCCTTGTCAGACTTCGTTTAAGTGCATGTTCAAACAGTTTGTAAGTTGAGAATGCAAAATTCGAGCAGAATCCCATCTTGATTCTACTCATAGTTTTGAAAAGAATAGCAGAGAAAATTACTCCGAGGTTCTTTGAATCTTTAGTCATAATCCGTTATGGTTTATGATAAGAAGCTGCCGTCAAGATTTGTAATTATATCAGATGAGGATCTTAACAAGAACAGAACAAGATTTGTCAGAATCCTACGCGAATAAAGCTTCTAAAGTTTTGATTAGAACTCTGCTCTGAGGGTGGGGTGTGGGTGTAGGTGCAGGTATGGACAGGCATGAACAGATGAACTACACTCACGCCATTACTCCTATCCCTACCAAAACCAATACCCTATCCACACCCTCACCCACATTCCATGCATCCACCCTCAATTAAGAAGCTCCCATGCTATGAGAATATACAGAATGGGTATGCTCCAAAATTTGTTTTTGAAGTGTAGGCCAACTCACCAGTAACATTGAGGGTGACGGTCATCTCTTCCATTGACATGTTATTCTTTGCTGTCACCTTGTACACACCTTCATGTTCTCCCTTTATACTAGCCACTGAGAATGTGTATTGCGTTGTTTTCACACTTGTGAACTGCACTGCCTTTCCATCCTTCTGCAGCTGAACTTCTGGTGTTTCCTTGCCACTCACATCTACGACGATGTTGAATTCTTTGCCCTCTTCCAAATCAATAACATCAGATGCTGGTATCACTCTTGTCAACTTCACTGGCTCCAGCACTGTGAGTGCACACGGAGTCGATTGTACTTCACCAACTTCGTTCTTCAACATGACTCGATAGACTCCTTCACTCTGTGCCACTGTTGCTTGTTTGATCAACAGCTTATATTCAAGCTTCGTCTCGTCCACCGACACATTTCCCGGTTCAATTGGGTCATCTTTGAAGAACCACTGAGCAGATGGTGGTGGTGATCCTTGCACGACCACTGTCAATATGACATCTCGTCCAATCATAGTTTCTTGTTCTTTGGGCAACTGTGTGATGATTATTGGTGCAGCAACAACAACGAGCTGAACAGTTTCTTCTTGATAGCTGTGTGGATTCTCAATACGACAAGTAATCAAACCCGCATGTTGTTTAAGATCGACGTTCCCAATGGATAACTTGGCTTC